CTTCTTCCATATCGTCAAACATCACTAAAATAACTGAACACTATTGAAGAATGAACAAAAATACAGTTGAAACTGGGATGGAAAACTGAGTAAATGTTGGGACGTGTGGACACTATATAAAATGTACGTCTTATTGTTCGTTTTATATGTCCAGCAAAACGTACAACAAGTCCTTGCGTGTAAACCGGGCTTAAGCGGACTCGGTGAGCTCCTTGAAAATTATCACGTGGGGGACTACAGTTACACGTTTAAAATGTGTTGCATTATAGTTCGATAAAATGTGAACGAGCTATTATATTTTACGGTGCAATCGAATAGTTATACAATAATAATCCATTTACAAATGAATACAGAAAAAAAATATTTTTAGGCTGCACTTTTGTGATGTTATTCGTATAAGGTCCGAGTAAGGTATGTCGGATAAAAGTTTTGCACTCGTAAACGATTGACGTCAGAACAGACGTGCCGTGACACTCGAATACGCAACGATTGCAAAAAGTGCAGTTATCGATTTTGAACTTTGGCGACGCGGATAACGAAACAGCGCACTGGTATTCGTGAATACGAACACATACGTGAAAACCAAATTTTGGGTTTTGTTCTTCCGTGTGAACTTTACCGTTTCGAGACCGTTTCACCGCGACAGTAATCACGCGGACGCGAGTGTTGTTCTTCTCCGGCGGCAGGCCAGACGCGCGCCGTAACGATGACGTGTCCCCCCCCCCCCGCTGCACGTTGCGTACGTTCGATTAACGCGTCGGCGGCATTTGGTCGCTTATTATGTGTGCGCTCACCTATGTACATGTATATATATATATATATATACGCGCATGTGTACATAATATTATATTCCGTCGGGGCGACCGAGGTGGTCGGTCGCGCGCACAGAGGGAGCGGGTGATAGAGAGGTAGACCGAGCGAGAGAAAAAAAAATCCACTCTTGAAAACCCATTCGTACACGTCGTAATATTATACTACGGCGTATACGTGTGTACGTATGTATACCATTACGCGCGTGTCTGTCCGATGTAATACGCGACGGACACCTTTATACGTGTGTAATGCATGTAATGAACTTACGTGTAACCCCGTGCGCGCGTGCACGTGTTGTGTATATTATAAATATATACGTGCGTGCGTGTGTGGCAGGTACGAATACTATGACGAGTGTACGAGCGCGTACGACGTGTATTTCGATATTAAAAAAAATAAAAATAAAAAATAATAATAAAAAGCCGACCCCCCCGGTTGGGGTGATGGGGGGGGGGAGAGAAGCCGCGATGGATATAGGCGTAGGCGATGAGGAGAGCACCTGTCTGGGGCGCCGCCGCCGCCGTAGGGGTTAGAGCGGCAGGCGGTGGATAACGTCGTTGTGGTGTGCGTCAGCGATACAGAACACATGGAGAGAAAGCGGTACATATATTTGTACATATTATAATTACACGTCGGGTCGTGACGGCGGCGGTCGATGGTCATTTGATCGGAAATCGCGAATAATTATATTATTGACCCCACAACGCGCCGTAAACCGTCTCACCGTGTCACTCGCGCCCCGTCCGTCCGTCTCTCGCACACCGCGGGGTTCGTACATTGTTATTACCCGTACATATTATTATAATGTGCGCGCGCGTACATAGACTCGCACGACGACCGCCCTTAAAACGGTTTGGCGCGTGTCTATTTTTTTTTTTTTTTTTACGTGTGAATGCGGCGGTGCACCATTTATCGACGTGTCGCCGCCGCCGCGGTTCGTCCTGCCCCGCCACCAACCCTCCGCACCGTGTACGCATAACGCGCCGCGACCCTGGCGTTTTTTCGTGCCCGCTATTATTCGCCGTATAGTCGCGCTCGTGTGGCGAGGGACCGCTCGCTCGATTGCTTTCTCCGACTACGTATATATTTCATTCCGTTTTCGTGTTTTTTTTTTTTTTTTTTTATCTTTGCGTCGCACGCGTCGTGCTATATTGGCGCTCGGTGTCCTACGGCGACGACCTCTGCAGCACACCCACACGTACGCGCATACACGTGCACATAACGTTACATCCTAACCCGGCGGTGTGCATTACGTTAGTGTCTGTACGTGTGTGTGTGTGTGTGTATGTGTGTGTGTGTGCGTGCTCGCGTAAACTTTATCCGCCAGTGCAAAGCGTACGCGAGTGTGAAGCGAAATACATTTTTCTCCTTCCAACATTTGACCGTACAAACGTATACGCCGTCCCTGCGTTGCGTGTACCGTATTTATGTGTACAAGTCGTGTGGAGATATGACGGGTTTGTGCGCGTGTGCTCGCCCGCGATCGAGCCCCCCCACGAGCACTCCGCGGATAGGGTACTCCGTACACGTACACCGCAGCGGGGAGGTTAACGGAGCGCGACTCGTCGGGGGGGGGGGGCGGATGGTAAGAGCCGCCGCCTAGGCGATGCGATGTTCTTTGTGTATGCGCGCGTGTACGTGTACGTGTATACGGAGGGCAAGCAAGACAAATGAGAGTTCCGGGGGCCACTCGTGTACATATATATGAATTCGTGGCTTCGTAGGGAGTAAGGGCGGGTGGGTAGGGTGTTACAGGGCGACCGGAATTTTCGGCGGTGCTCACGTATATATATATATATATATATATGTATCTGAACACTACGTACACGAGACTTGTGTATATATAAACGAAGCGCACGAACTTTTATTTTACCACTTTTAGTCTACGTGTGTGTGTGTGTGTGTGTTGCCATTTTATGTGAGCTATACATGTTCTATATATATTTACGTACAGTCGCAAACGGATAGTGGGAGCGGCGGCGGCGGCTAACAGTATATACGTATAATGTTAGTGTGTGTGTGTGTGTGTGTGTGTGTGTGTATGCGAGCTCGCGCGCGCGCGCGTGTGATGGTGGTGGTGGCGGTGGTGGTGGTGGAGTCGGGATTTCACGGCGCCAGGACGATGCGCGTACGGGCGAGGCGGCGGCGGCGGACGACGACTCCGGCTCAGGACGTCCATCATTTGTCAACGTCCACGACACGGGTACACGCCCCGTGCCGCCCGGCCGCGTCGCCATGGATACGCTCGCGGCGGCGGTGCGGCGGCGGCGGACGTCGATTCCACTCCGTCACGCCGCCAACGCGCGCGCGCCGCTCGCGCACGCACAACGATGACGAAAGCGCGGGCGCACGTTTTCGCTTTGTGCGGCGGCTACCGCCCCTAAACGTTGTCCTGAGCGACGGCAGAAGGGGCACGACCGGAGCGGATAGATTGACGGCGGCGAGAAGGGAGGGCGGCGATCGAGTACGGAGAGGAAAGGTCGCGCGCGCGCCAAGACGTTGCGAATTTTCTTTTCTCTCGTCCACGGTTGTAGCAACCGAAACACGATTTTTACATTGTACGCCGCTCGGGCACAGAATAATAATTTATTGCGACGGCGGACACGCCGCTTCACGTAACAGTCCTCGTACGTAACGCCGCAATAATATCACGTGAACGCCGCGCGATGCGCGACCGCGCGTTCCGCCGGGGCCGCGGTAACCGGTTCCCAGGATTACAACGTTAATCCGCGCGGCTCTCGGCGACGTGTGATGTGCGCGTGATCCGGTCGCGACGTACGTGTTGTGCGTGTCATCACCGCGGCGACGGACGACGGCCAGCAGTCGCACGCGGTCGTCGACGGGTTGGCACTTGCGTCCGATCCGTGCGCGCGTCAACGGATCGAGGACGAACGGCACGGAATCGTGCGCACACGACGCACGGGATTGTTGTAATCGCGGCGCCGACCTCTCACTCCCTCGTATCGTCAGGATTCATTTATAAACGTACAATAATTAGTAATTTTTTTTTCATTTTTTTTTTTTCACGTTTTTATTTTTTGTATTCAATTTCTGCCGTTATCGGTCAAATTTATACTACGCAAAACATATAATATTTGTACATACATCGGTGTACACGTTCCGCGCGCGGGTTATACAAACTACTGCTAAAGAATACGGGGGTTGTGCACGCGGATATGAAAGAAAACCACTCAACGTTTTTCTCGTAATCATATTATTATAATCAATATATTATATTATAATTATTATTATATTATTAATCATTAATTATTATTTTTACGTAATTATATTATAATCATCGCATCGTTATCGTTAATATTAATTATTATTAATTATCATTATTATATTATATCACATTGTAAAAATTATACACAACTAAACGTAAAAACTATATTTACACAATTGTGTCCGCTGCACACACGTTCATCTTCCGTCAAACATGTAAATCGACTTAATCAACTATATATATACATACATATACATATATATATATATATAAATATATATATGTATATATATATGTATAGATTATACAAAAAAGAGAATATATATATATACATTCGCATACGTACACATATTTTTACACACAAACATACATATACAACTACGTATATGGGCGTACATATAGGCGTACGCACATACATTTATATATATATTTATATAATGTGATATACACATCATCTTATTATATACATACAAATTTTTTTTTTTTTTATAAATATAGCTAAAAATAGTAAAAGACTTTTACAATATATACATTATTACGTAATAATTACTTATATAGATAAAAACATCGAGTGAACTGGCACAAAAAAAAGCAATGTCTAGCACGTATTACATATATATATATATATATTAAAAAAAAAAGAGAACAAAAAATGTGTTATCCAGACATCGTCGTATAGATGTGCAGGATCATCATGTACGGGATGATGTTGATTTCGTAAACATAATAAAAAAATTACCTATTATACTACGTAAATAACAATAAAACATTACCGCGACAATAAAAAGTATTAAAAGTAAAATAAAAAAAAGGTGAATTCTGATCTTGAATCGAGAGATGTATAGAAAATAACGAATAACAATAATAATATTTTATACGCGTTAAAAACAAAACAACAATTATTTTGTATACATTATAGTACATTATATATACTATTCGTTGGAAGGTTTGTTTGTACGTGTTTTTTTTTTTTTTTTTTTGAAAAATCAAAATCGAATCCGTCAACTTTTATGCGTTGGAACTTTTAATTAAAAATAGTTGTTTGCGAGACACGATGTTCAGAAACATAATATAATATATCGTTAAAATTTTTTGGTAACTAAAAAAATAATGTGTAAAAACAATAACAAATGAAGTGGATTTCCAACCTTTTCAGACGTTAAAAATAGTATTGAAACCGTGAAATCATACGCAACACATTATTTCATACGCACACCATTCTTTTCTCGGGTCTAATATACTTGATGTACGACATTATCGTATCGTCGCGACGCTATCGAAGCCATCGCGTGCAACAATCGTAACTATCGTTTTAATGTTTACGGTACAGTGAGATACACAAAACATGACTAGTATTTAAAGTACAATCATAATCATAATACATATCATAATACATATCATAATACAATATACGTATATGTGTAATTAATATATACCATATCGTTATAAGAGTCCGAGAAAGCACTGTTCACTCGACGGCGAGTGTATGAGCGCGGGCGCGCGCGCGCGTGATCCCCCGCATAAGATACGTACGACGTGTGCGCGTTGAACGCGGACGAAACTCGATTGCACGGAAATAGAAGTTTTCGGTACGTACGCGCGTTGCGCTTTTCGTGCGCGCGGTGCAATCGAACAACGGGGCGCACTGTCGGAACAACGGGACGGCGACACGGGATCCCGGACGCCGTTACCAGAAAACCGGTGCGAGCCGTGCGGAAAAACGAGAAAAAAAAACCGGCAACCCGTGTACTGCCGCGCGAACACGTTCGACGTCGACATCGCATCTGCGTGCCGCGATCGGAAACGTTCATCGTCCGGCTCGGAACCCGAAACAACACGGGGAAGTCCACTCGAAACGCGCGCGACGTAACGACCACCGCGTCCTGTTCGAACGCGGTAACGACGAGAACAGTACTGTTCTCGCGGGCACGAGGCCACGCAGTACATCATGAAAACGTATCGAACGTCATTGTTGCGATACAACGAACGACGTCCGCGCACACGACGATTACCTACTGTTATCGTACCACGGTGTTGGTGCGTAGACGATACGCGCTCACGTAATATACCTTACCACGTACGACTATCGGTTTAAAGTCGGCTAGAAAAAAAAAATTTAAAAATAATAATAATATTAAAAGAGAAAAAATAAATAGTCTTAATTACAGATAATATATAATCGCGTTACAACGTTGCATTACGCCCGTAACGTACATTGTATGCATAATGATTCGACGCAACAGTACATGGAGTAGTGTTCGTTTTGTTGACATGTTCTAATCGTCGTTTAAATCGGACGATTTCGTTTTTTTTTTTTTTTTTTCTTTTCGTGTTCAAATGAAGACACCGCCGCAATCCAATCGTTATTGAAACGGGAATGGGGAAACAATCCGTGTAGTTCATGTTTACAGTTATTCACACAGTACATATAAAAAAAAAAAAAAGTAATAATAGCGACCAGTGAAAAAAAATATACATCAGTCAACCGGATTGTTATCAATCATTGTAATGAAACACGAGTTCTAAAATTCAGATCGTAATTTACGATACTACAAATGACCGTAGTATTGGGCCGGGTAATGATGATATTCGTTGTGATAGGCCGGGTCACCCGGTGGTCTGTGACCAGCCGCTGCGAGCATCTGAGACTGTCCGTCCATCATGTATCCTAGGCCAGCCGCCTCGGGGCTGTACGCTCCACTGGGGCCGGCGTGCGGTGAGAATACTGGAAAAAAAAAAAAATTCAAAAAATATAATTATAGTAAGTCACAAATCGATTTTTACATTCCGATTATATATGTTTGGCGCGTGATGAGGAGACTGCCACCGCGGTCACTACCACCACCTCCGCGCAGCGTCAGACCGATTATTTCCAGCCGCGAGAACGACTTCGGCCGGACGAAATAGTAATTTATGGCCGCATAAAGGAAACACTACTATTACCGCGCTTTACTGTTATACTACTATACAGCTACTACGCTATGCACCGGTGGTGTAACGGTGTCGTATACGGGTGAGGTGAAAACTTCTCGTTCGTCCCAAAGCGATTCTCTTTCTCTTTCTCTCTCTCTATTTTTCCTTATCAGATACTGCCGGGGATTGACGGATTGCAGTCGCACAGACCCTTCAGGGTCGAGGTCCATTTTTCTTGTCCCCAAATACGAGAAGGGACCACCTCTAACGACAAGATATATTGTTGTCCCTATATTTCTTGTCCACTACCATTACTACCTTCTGCCTATATATCAGAGTGGGTATACATGTAAGTGTAGTCCCAGTCGTTCACTTACTTTATAGGGATACGTATTGCTACTTTTGCGGTTTGTATAAGTGTGCACGTGTGTTACGTACACTTGTATTCTTATATTTCATATATATATATTCGTTATAAAGTTTATAAATAAAATATAATATACTCGTATATATATATAAAGTATAATATGTAGATGTGTCAATGGTGGCAATATTCTCGTCTCAGTGTACGTATACATATAACGCGTTGTGATTTAACGATTTCGGTTGGAAAAAAAACGAATTAAAAAGAGAGTCGGAAAATATTAACAATATACGAAAACGGTGGCGGGATACACTAAAAGCTTTTGTGTTATTTCTTCTCAGTTTTGTCCACTGCATTGTATATATAAATACATTTATGGAACGTTATAATGCTAAAATTGTATGTATCTAGAAAGCGACATGTTACACACAACGTTTCGCGTACAAGAGTACCACTACCGCCACCAAGTGACGGGGAAATGCTCAAGGGAATAAAAATTATTAGGACCTCGACGGCGGAAAAGTGGAAAGCCGTGTAATCCCTCGGCGACTGATTTTTAGGATTGCAATTTAATTGGTCCGCTACGTGTGCGTGGCACGAAATCAGTGCCGGTGCCATACGTACGCGTAATACAATTAGAAAAAGTCGAATGTTGTTATAAAATATGAATATTCCTCCGCGTGTGTACCGTCGAGATTGTCACGAGATGAACGTTTCTAAATAGTTGCGGCCGAGCGGTTAAATCGGGTAAAAGTTTCCCCTCGCTTTCACGAAGCTCCCGTGTGCAAACACGGTAATGGATATTAACAGAGATTACTCTTAACACCAGCCCTCCCCCACACACACACACACACATACTAGCAGATATATCCAAGATGTCTTTGCCGACCGTCGTCCCTCAATCCTCTCACCCCTCTTTAGTTGTAGCCTCATTCTCTTCAACTTTTACTTTAACTACTGTATACGCTGCAACTATACTATTACCATTACTGCCGTCACTAATACTATACACAGCACGTATATATATGTATATATATATACCCTGTGTTATGTGCGGATTATATTCGCTATCATTATTGCGGTCTGGAAATATAGTATTATTATTATACCAAAGTCTGCGGGATACCGTTAAATTCACTTATGTAAAAATATTCACTCGATTTAAGTTTTCCAAAAGTTTTAAGGACCGTGTCGTGCTCTCCGAGATTGCCCGGCGGAAAGCGTTTCGCGTACAAATCACGCAAAAATCTGATTGTCGCACACGAGCTATCCATCGGTATAAAACGGGTCGAAACATTTACGAAACGTCCGAGGAAATGTTTTCATGTTGGGATTGAACGACTACGCAAGCGTGTTTGATGAGGCGGAACAGTACTGTTTGGTGGTTTTTATATCCGGTACGCATTTATTTCTTTTCTTCATAAAACGTATAAAATAATGTTCACCGTAATATATATATATATATATATACGCTTGTGTGAGTGTGTGGGGTGGAAAAACTTGGACGGGGCCGAACCAATGAGACATGTCTTGCTAAAGCTTTCGGGAGATTTCTTTTTCGAAGACTACCGGAAATATAGAATCGAGGCCCTTTTATGCCATGCACTAGGGTCAGAATATAATTTTTAGACGATCGACTCCGACAAAACACTATCGTGTTTTATATATATTTATTATATAATATGTATGAGTTATACAACGTACAAACTACCCTACGCGAGTTCTTTTAAATATATTCCGCAAGCAAATAACCGTCGAAATCCATTTGTCGACTAAAGAATACAAAGCACCGAACTGAATATAAAAATGTGTACGCGCGTATAAACCGCCCGGTTTCGATGACGTTCGCCTCTAACGTCGACCGGACCCTTTATCCCCGCAGCGCCCGCGCGTACGTAGCTTAACGTCAATGATTCAGGATTAAAACAGATAGCGTTTTATATAGCGGTAGCTTTATAGTTTTGTTTGACCGTAACCGTTTCCCGGTGGTTGCGTACACGTACGCAGATAGCGCGTATACGAGACGTGGAGCCGCGGCAGCCGCGCGGGGGCGAATAAAAACAAAAGTGTCGTATAAAGGCAATTTGCTGCTAATAAAATTAAAACGATGGCGCGCGCGCACGGTGGTGAGAGGAGCCGACAATCATCAAAAAAAAGGGTCTAGATGACTCGCAGTAAAAATAAAATTTCCATTAAACGGGAATAAAACGGTAACCAGCCAGTGCGCTTCGCGAGAGGGTGCACGAAAATCAAGCATGTCGTAACAAGTTTATCGCGCCATAAAACCCCTCGGAATTGCCAGTCAAAAGTTGCGGGCCGCCGTCTCGGAACAGCCGTAAAAACCTACGAAATGGGGTTAGGGAAAAACCTGGGCCGGAAAATTCGCGTAATTGGACCTGAGGTGCATCGCGGAAAACATTACAATTTGCCGCCACCGCCGCGTTTACGGCCCCCCGCGAGCGGTCGTTCTGCTTTACGACGACGACGACGACGACGACGACGATTTCCTCTCGCCGCCACCTGATCCGGACGATTTACCACGGCACCGAAAAATCCGTGTGCGAAAACTTTCGCGGATTTCGCTGAATAACAATTACGGGTGTTATTGCATTGTTGCGCGTTACAAACCGGATATATGCGCCGCGCGAGAAACGGACCGGCCGTCAATGCTGCCGAAATAATTGTTATCGTGGTCGTTTCGACTTACCGGCACGGTTCGACTGATCGATCATCGGTTGAACTATTCTTCGCCGAGCGTTGATGAACCTGCGGAAAAACAAAACAGAACATTGCGTTAGTCGTGCGATCGCGATAGAACGTCAATCAGGCGTCATCCATGAGTATAAAACTAACGCGTTAACGATTTGGATTTGGAACACGTTTCAATCGAAACACAACACGTGCACGTTCGGTACATGTTGTGTACGCATACGCGTTATGTACGTACATCACGTAAACGATTTATCGGGGAACTCATTCCTCCGTCGTGTAACGTACAATATTGATCCGGCATTAGATTGCTCGCGCTAATTCCTATTCCGCCGAAAACAATTATTAAATTCGGAGAGCAACGGCAAGCGCGCACCGAAAGAAAACCCAAAAGGGTCGGGGAATAATATGCGTTTAAATGTATTTTTGCCGATTAGAGGAGTTGTAAATAGCGCCGCATGCTATATTTGAGGGGGGGGGGGTGACGTCGGGGGCGGAGAGGGCCGTTGCACCAGTAGGAGAAGTCGTTACAAACACCCGGTGCACATAACTCGATAGTTCTGACCTAACAACCCCGACCTGACATATGACCCGACCCCCATCAACGCGCCGGTAACAGCTGTTCGCTTGACGCCTAATTTTCTAGCCCTTTTTATTTCTGTAATATTTCGTTTCACGAAATAATGAAACGACAGGACCGCTGCTCGAGGGTTTAAGCGTATCGCAGAGTCAGGACCGATAGAAACAGAGAGTGAGATTGAGAGAGAGAGAGAGAGAAGGAGAAAGATACTCTTCTTTAGGCGTCGCGGAAAATGTTATTGAAATCACCGAGGGATCGTAGTAGATAAAGGAGTGCCGTAACAAACTCATTTTGGCGTGGTATTAAGTACAAAAGAGAATGCATAAATATCCGCGACACGAAACATGGAATGCTGGGCATAATAGGTATATAATATATAAGGGAAATCCGATCGCCCTCCTCTTATCGTGTTAATTCGTCGGACAGAGTCGATGTCTTTTTAATCCCCGCGACGGTGCTGGAGCAGCGCAAGGTGCAGCGCACAGCTTCGCTCTCTTCTCCTGTCTAATAATGTATAGTTTCACGTTAAGGGTGTTAAAAAGGAAAAAAAAAACTTGGTCATTAGCGGGGCATAAGTATTCGTCCAATTCCATTATCACGCGTTTTGCATTAATTGCAAAATCAATAGTCTCCCATCCCCTTATTTGATACTCTTATCTGATTAAAAAAAAAAAAAAGTCTTGGTTTGTGAGCCTACGTTCCTCACGAAATGCATCTGCACGTTCTACGTAGCCCCGTGTAATATTTTCGCGTAAAACATTATGCACTAAAGTCGTAAGATTTCAAATCTACATTGTGTGCACCAACGTTTATAATAATAACAAATCGCTGTATATACCGTATACGCTACATATTTATCACATCAATGTGTAATTATAATGATTTGGTTTTAATACCTAATAGCAGCACCTCTTAAAAATATTCGTTTATACGTCGGAGAGACGCTAAATTAATACCGCGTGATTGTACAGCATATTTCTTTATTTTTTTTTTTTCTGAATAAATAAGCTATTTAAAACGTGTCTCGAGCGATTACTGAACCTGCAATTATTAATGATCATTGTCATTGAGAAATCGACATAAGCGCTGTCCTAATCGTTGTTTTTTAAATTACAATATTTACATTTTAATTACATTAGTCAAGTTACCCGAACGAGCCGATAAATCTATTTCCGCGCAAACGTATTCGTAATATATTCATGCGTGTAAAGCGTACGTAAACGTGCATAAAATAAACGATTTTAAGAATTGCGGGAAAAAAAAATACAATTCTCCGTACGATTACGGACTAAAATGGCAAACATAACTCTCCTCCAGGTGATTATAATAATTTTAAGCGTAAACGATATATGTATATACGGTGTGTACATAGTAACACGGATATAATAACAATAATTATGGACAACGATGGAATACTGTACATGTGTATAAAATAAGTAATAATGATGTAAAATAATAACGATAACGACTGTTGTATGTTTTCCAGAGCCTGCGGTTTCAACGGTATTTTTTACGCGCCACCAATGGATAAATAATAAACAACGCGAACGGACACAATATGGGAATAGTTTTCATGCCCGTTTTCTCACGTAATCAATAGTTGGTTTGTGTACGAGAAGGAAAAATTGATTTCGTGCCGCACGCGATTTCTATAATACGGTTAACTCAACGTGTACAGGTATATTATATTGTTGTGATGCACTAACGACAACGGCAGCGGGTCTGGTGTATTTGATTAATGATTCTCGCAGTACCGCAACGCGCGCAGGTACGAGAATATTATTTTTGATGATCATAATTTTCTTCGTAGCAGTCTTATTATGCACAACATCGTTTATTTTGTTTGTGCATTATACGCGCACGACACACACGTTTCGGGTGGTAGGTAAAATATATATTTAAATATTATACATCGTACGCACGAATACATCGTTCTACTTCCTCATTAGCGCGTAGTAAGGTTTTATACGCGTGCACTCGAGTCGTTTAATCGCACGCGTAAAAACAACGCGCACGTAACTTAAGATCGTAGCACAGCATATTTTGATTCGGCACCACGGTGCTATGTTTAATTTCGGGTATTAAAACGACGGAGTTTAATAATAATAATACCCCGACAACGACTTTTTACACGTACTACACGCACACCGTACTACTCTACACACGTGTAATTAAATACATTAATACAATGATAATTGTATGTGTATACTACCTTACATGTTAATTGGATACCGTTGTACTAGAGCTAATGATGTTATTGTTACGGTCGTTGAAAACCGAGAATGTGTGAAAAACCTATGGAGTATTGTGTTGTAAAACGTATACCCATTATGTACGCGCATACACGCGCGCATGTCTCACGCACATGTCTTGTGTACGTACACGCATATACGTGTACGTATACGTTGTTGGTTGTATAAGATTAGCGTTTAGACTTCGGTATATCTTAGACAGAAATTGGAAAATAAAGCCAGCCATAAACAAGAGGGTAATCTCAGGGTCTCAACTCGACCCCGACGGGCCAGATATGGAAAACGACATCCCTCTACCACTACAGCTATTCTACTGCTACTACTACTACTACTACTACTACTACTACTATTACTAATACTACGCGCTACGTGTACTACCGTGAATAGCATTCTATCTCCCTACCCGTTTACTTGGGTGGACAAATTTTACGGCCATTCAAAAAACCACCCAAGAATGGTCTTTTCGGCGGAGGGGTGCGACGGCGGCCGGACAATCGCATCGCGCGGTGAGCCTTTTATGCGAGCCCATCACACACAAAAGCTTGACCACTACAGCAGCCGCTGCCACCACCTCCGGCGACCCTTTTTCCGCTGTTGTTGTTGCACAGAAAGATTCTATCTTGGGCTCGCAATGTGTCCAGGAATGTTCTATATCTCTTCCGACTCTCCGACCTTATACCTCCCGTTTCACTCGGTTACGCTGTGCACACACATGTATTTATATATGTACATGTATACGTATAGGAAGGGCGAAATATCTCATTCTTTACTCCCCCAGAACAATATCGCCGTCGCCGTCGCGCTCGTTTCACGAGAATGAAAAATGTGGTTAATATCGTTCAGTTTGTGCGCGAGTATGCGTGCGGTTTTCTACGATTTATAATCTTCAGTATACGGATTAAGCTCGTTTCCTCGTATAATACCACGCTGGGGTTGGATACCAGTGATATTGGATTTTATACCCGAAATTTTGTGAAAAATCACTGTCGATCGCAAAGACATCGGGTACCGTACGTAAGGTACATACGCACCACGCACTGCTTGTATAGGGTTCTGTTAAGTGCTGCAAACGGCACAGCGTTTTACCCAGACCAAATTGTTTTGAATCTGTACACGTCTAAATACGAGTATGTATACGTTTTGATTTGCGTTCCACACATTTACATACACGGTGCGCATAAAAAAAATTAAAATAATATTATTATGGTAATATAGGCGCGGCGCGATTTTACTTGTTACACGAATAGTTATAAACCTTTTATGTTATAATTATTCTAATATTGCGGCCACTACTGAATGCCCTTGAGGGACTTATCCTAAAGTCTCGTGTTCCGTGTTCGCAGGGAGCACAAGCACGCATGTGTTTCAAGTGGCTGGTGGTGCATAAGGGTCGGTACGGCTGCGGCGGAGTGCGACGAGGGGATCTTGAAAAAAAGTTAATTTACGACAATTACATCTGGACACCCTCTTGAGTTTTCCGAAAGCAATTTCGCGCAGAACAAAATTAGGGATCTGCAGCAGGGGAGCGACTGAGAGTGAGAGAGAAAGAAATATATGGGGTGAGAGAGAGCGAGAGGGGGATGAGAGAAAGAGGGGGAGAAAAGCAACCCTTGCAGCGTGGCGGTGGTGGTGGCGGCGTTCGTCGGCTAGTAACACACGGTTTTGTGATCATTAGCAAAGATCATTGTTATGTTTCAAGCGCACAAACATTGTGCAGTTTGTGTGTATGTGTGCATGCGTGCGACGACGGCGACGCAAAGGGAATACGCACGGGACCCGATAACCCTTTCTGTACGTGTGTGTGCGCGCGCGCGCGCGCGCGCCCGGGAACATTCACGGTCGGCCGACCCTAATCCCGCCGTCGCTCGTATACTCGTTCACCGTGACAGAACACGACTTTCCGTTAATCACTGTCATTTATTTATACGCGCACGCACGGTCACAAGCATGCGCGCGGAACACACACTGGCGTACGGCACAACAAACGTACACGTTGCACACGCATGCACACCGTAAACGCGCGCACACACGATAATCGATTACGTATATAATCCGCCGACGGGACCGACGAGTAACGTTATACATTGTGCCGCCGTTTGATTGCTGGCCATGCAAATATGGCGTGCAGGTGATCCTGAGGTGGGCTGAACAGCCGGATAAAACGTAGGCGGAAAACGGTTTTGGAAAATATATAATAGGTTCGTGCGACGGTAGATGGCCGGGGA